CATGTCTATAGAAGGGCTATAATATGGGGAAGAATGGCATGTACTTTTATCTTGGCCCGTTTATGACTGACTGACTGACTGAGTTTGGTTTTACGCCGCTTTTAGCAATATTCCAGCAATATCACGGCGGGGGACACCAGAAATGGGCTTAACATATTGTGCCCATGTGGGGAATCGAACCCGGGTCTTCGGCGTGACGAGCCAACGCTTTAACCAATAGGCTACCCCACCGCCCCGGCCCGTTTATGAAGATAAATACTGCGATCTTTCACAATAATCTCTCTGGCTATCAGATTGAGGGTACTTTTTAAACATAACTGGTATTTCAATTATGTATTATTATACAGTAACATTCTTCAAACGTTCTCCACATACGTGCGTCAGATACATCGCGCACTACCCCTTTCTCTTTTGATCTCTCAAACGACTGTTACAAGTTCGGAGAATCCTGGTCAAAGTTGAAACGTCTTAAGACTATTCCCTACTATTCTGTAACATGCACATTGTACCTAAAATGGGTAGAGCTTCCGTTCGGGGGAATATCAGAAGGACAGCGATACACTTGTCTCCAATGTTGTAGAAGACACTCCACTTACTTAGGAAAACAATAACCCAATGAGATATTGCATTCATGTCGGATTCAATTGTTTCGGCCCCTATCAGATGTGAACTTGAACATGCAAGGTCTGCGTCTATGTCAGACTAAAGGTCTACGAGTTGTTTAGCAGCACTGGGGCGTAACAGTCATATAGGCCTGCTCCAAACAACGGAATATATATCTTTTGAGAAGGACTTCTCCGACGGGTAAAGGTACAGCAATGCAACATTACGAAAAATCTTTTTTTTCACTATTTTTCATTTCATGTCTCACAGAATATATAATTTGATGGGCGAGAGGTTTTAATATCGTTCTAACTTAGTCGAATTAAGTCAAAATGAGCTTAAATTTGTGTCATGATGCTTATAAACATACACTCATTCATTTACAATCTCCAAAACATGAATTCTGAGCAAACTCATGGGCGAGCGAGTTTAAATCTAAAGTTTTCGCAAAAAAATGTTTTCATTTTTTCATCCTTGGCATATATATTCATAACAACTGCACGTTTAATTTGGTCAAATCACTTGTCAAAAAGTACCCACAGTGCGGAGAGTCCAGAATTAAATTGTGACGTGTTAATGACATTTGTTATACTGTTAACACAGCATGGCTAAGAGGTGGCAAAGTCTTGCCGCCATCAGTAACATTTGAAACAGATACAAAATATTCATTTAATGTTGAGCTTTATCCAAATCTGTAAAAACTGAAGGTATCCCAGAATCATCAGTGACAAGAAGGGGAGTGGGCCCCGATGAAGTACTAACCACCTGATTGAGTAGACTGAGGTGATAAATAGTTATCAAAATTAGAATAAAAGTTTCCCTTGGCTATTCTTTTCAGATAATTTACTTTCTTCCTTTGCTTTTTGTATTTAAATAGCTCAGAAGTATTCAGAGATCGAAATGCTTTTTTCCTTAGACGTTCTCATTTCTTTTAAGTATGTTACGAGGGGCGTTGAAAAAGTAGTCAAACTAACTATATTCTCGTTGCCCAATGTTTGAAAAGAAGCTTCCATTTTATTTTGAAGGAATCATTAGCAAAGTCATATCCAAAATTTCATGTGGGTAATGTGGTTAACGAGATATTAGTCATCACAACATTGGGGTATTATGTTTCTTGCAAATTTTCAGAAAATGGAAAACGATCTCCCATTTGGTATCTAGTAATAGTAATAGTCCGCTTATATGGCGCTCACATCCAGGCACATTGCCTGCTCACGGCGCTACGTACATTACTGTCCCCGATTATAGGACACTATCGTAGTTTCCGATACTTTTTCAACTCCCTGGGGACTGTACAGCCATGCTGCATGTTAGGCGCAATGAACTAAACACTCACATTGCCAGCACATACCCACGGTTACCCATTTTACAGCTGGGTGAACTGAGACAGTGTAGATCTAAGTATCATGTCCAAGGATACTACGCAAATGTGCCGATCTCGGGAACCGAACCTCGGTGCCTCCTCGAAACAGGGCCTTCAGCATGATAGGCAGACGCCTTACAACTGCACTATTGCGCTATCTCTTGGATAATGGTATACCCTCAGATAGTATCATATAAAACATGTTCAGCATAGTATTGGATGACTTCCCGTCATCATCAACATTCAAAGATTTGGATTGCTTGATTTACATTTAGACGGGGACTGTTGTTTTTAGGACACCCTCATTTTAAATTTTCAAAAACATTGTGTCCAGATATACAACATATTGAGAGTTGACACTTGTGTGACCATTCAGTATTTAGTTTGAACCCTTGACACCATGTATGAATAAGTGAAAACTTTAGGATGAGTTATATCCTTATGATGACGTCAACTGAAAGGGGGTGGGTACTGTCTCCAAAACAAGCCCTTTCAGTAACATGAAGGGGGAGTCACTTGAACAAGCGATTATAGTTTAAAATTGCTTTTTTGTGCAGTTTAATATCTATGTTTGACTTTTACCAACATACAACATGTTTTTTGCATATTTTGTTTCAATTGGTGTAGGGGGATTCCCGCCAATACAACTTGATATAAAATTGGATCAAAATCTATTAATTCTTTCCTAAGTTCGCGGCTACCAAGCTTGGCATGTGCAAAACTGTTACACCTTCGCTGTGACCTTTAAAATGACCTCAAGGTCACTTAATTCAAGTGGTGTCGGTGAATCTTGCCAATATACCTTGGTACCAAATTTGAACAAAATCCATGATTTCTTTCTTGAGTTATCGCCCTAACAAGCTTATTTGATGTATGAAATGCAACGCAAAACAAACACCCGCGTATTTACGAGTGATTAAAACTGTTATTACAATTTACGTAAATATTTATTACATTTTACCGCAACTAAAGTTATTACAATTTACGTCAATTTTTATTACAATTTGCGTATTACAATTTACGTCAATTTTTATTACAATTTACGTTTTTATTACAATTTACGTCAAGTTTATTACAATTTGATTCAAGTATTACAATTTGCGTTTTTATTACAATTTACGAATTTACGTCGTAACAGAGCCACCCGATGATACATCTACAATGAAATATAGATGGAGGTGTTCCGCAAAGGTCATGTTAACCAAACCTGATACTTTTAGAGGCTTAATGATACAGAGCAATAAAGGAGCTTGAAATATACTGAAAGGAACAGCACGTGGAGACATTTTATCAACGCGACCTTTTTTGTTTACACTACATTTAACCACTTCACACATTACCCCAATTTTTTTCAAATGCATTAACCGAGTCTGAATACTGAATTCAGCCATTTTCCTTGCTATATAACCACGCATAAAATTATTTGTTTGCATGGGTATATTTGTGTTGACGGAGAGGACACAAATCAGTAGAAGTTAGGCAACCTTGGTCGCGGAGAGTCTTTGGATGTGTGACCGTATCTGGCAGCTTGACCCCAGAGAGTTTCTAGGACTTCACTCCTGTCCCACAACGAAGCACATGTGATACATGTGGTCTCACCCTAGGCAAGTGAGTTTGTTCATAAATTGCCTCTGTTCGCCCAGCAGTGAATGGATACCCGGTGGGATAGGTCATGTAACTTTTTACCTAAAATGTGTTGGTCTTGGGAACAATTGTGTGAATACAGGCGCTGAATTTGCTGAATACAGTCTTGAACAACATGTACGCACTCAGACACGAGGCATATCGTAAAGGGGAAGGAGTGAACTTGCCATATTCGGGCTGTGACCTGGTACTCTCTATTTGAGTCAGGGGCGGTGGGATAGCCCAGTGGTAAAAGCGTTCGTTCGTCACGCCGAAGGCCCGGGTTCGATTCCCAACATGGGTACAATGTGTGAAGCCCATTTCTGGTGTCCCCCGCCGTAATGTTGCTGGAATATTGCTAAAAGCGCGTAAAACCATACTCACTCACTATTTGAGTCAGATTAGCTGTATCGCTATGCATACCTACACATACCCTGGGTTAAGTGTAATATGTTTAAACACGGTTTCTAACTATAACATGTCATCATACTTTTCATGAGATATATATTTGTCAGTGAATGTTTTCGAACAGTATTTCGCTTGTATCATCCTGACGCCGCTAAAGGACGCATTTATATGGACGGAATTTGAGCGCCATTGACCACTGGACAAAACATCTATTTGTAGGAGAAACAGCAGAAAAATTTGGTTCATGTTGACATGCCATAACACGTTCCCTGAATTCTAAAAGCCATCGTGAATTCATTTCCTGACTTCTAAAAGGCATTGTTAATTCATTTCCTGACTTCTTAAAGTCATCTTGAATTCATTTCCTGAATTCTAAACGGCATTGTGAATGCATTTCCTGAATTCTAATCGTCATTGTGAATTCTTGCCCTGAATTCTAAAAAGCATTGTAAATGCATTTTCTGAACTCTAAAAGGCATCGTGGATTCGTGCCCTGAATTCTAAATGGCATTGTGAATGCATTTCCTGAATTCTAATCGGCATTGTAAATTCTTGCCCTGAATTCTAATCGGCATTGTGAATTCTTGGCCTGAATTCTAAAAAGCATTGTAAATGCATTTTCTGAACTCTAAAAGGCATCGTGGATTCGTGCCCTGAATTCTAAATGGCATTGTGAATGCATTTCCTGAATTCTAATCGGCATTGTAAATTCTTGCCCTGAATTCTAATCGGCATTGTGAATTCTTGGCCTGATTCTAAAAAGCATTATAAATGCATTTCCTGAATTCTAAACGGCATTATGAATTCATTTCCTGAATTCTAATCGGCATTGTGAATTCTTGCCCTGAATTCTACAAAGCATTATCAATGCATTTCCTGAATTCTAAAAGCCATCGTGAATTCATTTCCTGAATTCTAAAAGCCATCGTGAATTCATTTCCTTAATTCTAAACGGCATTATGAATGCATTTCCTGAATTAGCATTTGTAAAACATTAACTCACCTTTTCATAATAGCTGAAATCGACAGCATCAGTCATCTTAGAGCAATCGCCAATATCGAGGTCATCATTAAGCTGACAACTCCGATTGAGTTTGTGATGTTGAAAAGACTTGCACAAATCACTTTCAGCACACAGGAGGGCACACTTTACTTGGCTGACTCCGTTAGCCATGCCGTACCTGTACTTGCTCTGAAGAATCTTGCCTCCACAAGCGGAATTATCGGTAAATTCTTGAAAACGGAAGTCAATACTTCTTACAAGAGTTAGAAAAAAACAGTGCATACAAACTGTGTATAATTCGTTTCATGATATTCGAGTACTTTCGTAGTGCTGCTCCGCTTACTTAAAAAAATATCTTATATAGTTTACAGCGTTGACACTCCCTTGTAGTTGTTTCACTTGCGCGATGATCCAGATTGAAGCTCTAAACCAGTTAAACATTCATGCGTAATTGACGATAGCTGTATTTGCGGCTAGCGATCAATAAGAAACCAATTTACCTCTTTGAAGGACATGTTGAAGCCTTGTTGTAGGTTCACGTGTTAAACCGTGTGTCAAGTACATATCCTGATCCCTTTGATGTACTCCTAAAGAATGATATCAGTAACTGAACAAGTTTGTCAAGTGTAAAGGTAATCGTGATGATTGGTTCACCAGCGTCACGGTTCACATACACTCATGATTAAGTCAAGAAACAATATTGTAACAGTACACATACCCTTAACCTCCCTAACAACCACCGCTATATTCCCATCAAACACAACAGGTGAAGTTTGCCAGGCACATTTGTCTCCCAAACTCGGATCCTTTCGTGTCAATGTATAACGACGCAATGCCATACCCTTACAGAACGCTAAGTATGGACCTGACACCGCGCATCAGTGAAAAGGAACGACTGCCGCCCAGTAGAGTATAACCAGAAATTATTGAGAATTTTAGGAATATGTTTAATTGGATTTTTAGTATAAACAACCTTGACCAGCTATCAAGTGCTTGGTTTCAGTCAAGAGAGGCAACTCCGTTAATCCTTTTCATTAGTTTGTGAAGAGTTATCCCCCTTTGTTTACTTGCTAGCAGACGACAATTTCAGTGATCCTAAGTATCGATGATTTAGAGAAGAGGAAGTTGATTTTAGAGTATCATAACAAGGACGTCAGATCAGCTAAAGTGATTTCGAGTGGAACAGGCATCCTCTTTGTCCACTGTTTATCGTGTTTTGAAAAATATTGTAAATGGCATTGAGCACCAGGGAGGTGCAGGTAGGCCCAGAAAATTGACTGTCGGTGACAGGAGGCGGCTTGGAAAACTTAAGGCTTGATATGATTGATAGAGGAACTGTGGCTGTCTGTAAGGAGACAATTAGAACTGAGCTGCATGCAATGGGTTGGCAGAAAAGTCGAGGAATTCCATCACTGATCATGAAACCTGAACAAAAGGAGCGAAGGTTGAACTGGTGCTTACAGCATAGAAATGTTAACTGTCATAATGTGATTTTCTCAGATGAAAGTTCTGTGTGGCTGTTTCCCCAAACACTGAAACTCTGGACAAAACAAACTGAAAACCTTTGTATCAGTCCGAAATTTAACGTGTGTGGGGGCATATGTGTGTTAGGGGCAACGCCCCTTTGTGTATTTGAAGGGAATATGAACAGTGAGCGGCACACAGATATTCTCGAGGGACATTTACTTCCATCTGCTCACGTGTTCTATGGAAATTGTTGGATTTTCCAGCAGGACAACGACCCAAAACATCGTTCAAAGCATTCACAGGCCTGGTTTTGGACCCAAAATATGACATTATTAGAATGGCCAAGTTAGAGCCCTGACCTAAGTCCAATAGAAAATGTTAGGGGACTTATGAAGGAAAGTGTCAAGAAGAAAAATCTGACAAATATTGCTGAAATGAAAGAACAGTTGGTCCGATATTGGGACAGCATGGACCACGACTTTCTAACTTCTTTGATCAGTAGTATGCCCCGCCGCATTGAAGCCTGCATTGCTGCCCATGTTGACTTGACAAAATACTAACTGTTCACCTGTCTTTGAATCTGGAGTTATGTTCTGCTAATATTCACATTTAATACGTAAGTAATGAGTGAAAAAACATAAAAAACATAACTTGAACTAATAAGAGAAGAAGAAATGAGAGGAATATCAATGAGAAATATTCTGCTCTGGTATGAGGAAGGTGAAAGACCAACAAAATATTTTTGTCACTTGGAAAATAGAATCTATGTTAATAATTCTATTAATAAACTTCAGTCAAGCAACAATGAGGAGTTAACAGATAGTGATTCTATACTGAATGAAGAAAAGCCCTTCTTTAAATTGTTTTATTCTGCTGATAAACAAGACGAAAAATACTTGACCACCCTAGATCACATTGTAACCCCAACCCTCAATGATGAATTAAGAAACAATTTGGAAAAAGAGATTGATATGAATGAAATTTCCTATGCAGTTAAGAATATGAAAAACAACAAAAGCCCGGGAATTGATGGATTCCCAATTGATTTTTTAAAATTCATTTGGAAGGAACTCAAAATATGGATGTTAAGATTTGTCAAAACTATTTCAGAAAAAAAATCAAATGTCTATAACTTTGAAAAGAGGAGTAATAACTTGCATACCTAAAGCTAACAGAGATAAAACACTTTTGAAAAATTGGAGACCTATTACTTTATTGAATGCACTCTATAAAATTATAAGCACTTGTATCACTAACCGTTTAAAGAAAACCCTAGATTCCCTAGTACATGCTAACCAAACAGGCTTTATTCCAGGTGGAACTCTTAGTGAAAACACAAGATTACTATATGATATAATGTTTGAAACTAATAAAGGAAATATGCCAGGACTAATTCTCCTAATAGATTTTGAGAAGGCTTTCGATACAGTGTACAAAAGAGTTCTTGAATATTGTTTTAGCTAAATTTGGTTTTGGGCCTGAAATCACTCACATATGAAAGAACATCATGTACCATCCAACATAGTAAACTCTCTGATTTTTTCGTAAATAAACGCGGATGCAGGCAAGGGGACCCTCTGTCACCGTACCTCTTTATATTTGTCGCTGAAATACTTGGTTGTATGATTAGAAGTAATGAGAACATAAAAGGTATTGTTATTGACAATAATGAGTTTAAACTAAACCAATATGCAGATGATACGGAACTATTTCTTGATGGAAATGAACAAAGCTTCAAGGCAGCTATTAATGAAATTAATACATTTAATAAAATGTCAGGACTTAATATAAATATTGATAAGACAAAGGCAATATGGTGGATTGGCTCAAAGAGAAATAGTATGGCAGATAGAATGGCAAAAGGGTGTGTTTGAAGTCTTGGGAATTACATTTCACACAGATCAGCTTATGGGTAATCAATACAAGAAAAAGACTTGATGAGATAAACAGATTGTTTTCACAATGGAGGAAAAGACACTTGACACTGATTGGTAGAAAAAACTGTTATAAAAACTTTGGCTTTGTCAAAACTTGTTCATATATTCAATATTCTGCCTAATCCTCCTAAAGACTTCATTACTTCATTGGTTGACACAGTAACATTTTGTGAAGCTTTGAAACTAGCTAACCTGAGATCTGATTGTAGAAGAACAGCAGTTGAAAATCCCTGTAATATTTCTTTTTGATGTCATTTTAAAATCTGGTGCAGAATTAAATTCCACATAGATCTTAACAGCTTATGGGTATTCAATACAAGAAAAAGACTAGATGAGATAAACAGATTGTTTTCACAATGGACTGACTGAGTTTAGTTTTACGCCGCTTTTAGCAATATTCCAGCAATATCACGGCGGGGGACACCAGAAATGGGCTTAACACATTGTGCCCATGTTGGGAATCGAACCCGGGTCTTCGGCGTGACGAGCCAACGCTTTAACCACTAGGCTACCCCACCGCCCCTTTTCACAATGGAGGAAAAGACACTTGACACTGATTGGTAAAATAACTCTCATAAAAACTTTGGCTTTGTCAAAACTTGTTCATATATTCAATACTCTGCCTAATCCTCCTAAAGACTTCGTTACTTCATTGGAGAATAGCTTTTTCAAACTCATATGGAATGACAAACCAGATGAAATCAAAAGGAACAATTTGAAAAGATTATACAAAAATGGTGGTTTAAGGATGGTTGACACAGTAACATTTTGTGAAGCTTTGAAACTAGCTAACCTGAGATCTTATTTTAGAAAAACAACAGTTGAAAATCCCTGAAATATTCCTGTTGATGTCATTTTAAGGTCTGGTGCAAATGTTGATCAAGTAACTTACATCGATAACCCTTATTGGAAGGATGTTTTGAAAGCTTGGAACAAATATTGCAAAAAAAGTCATGTGAATTCTGGTAATATTTATGAAATCCTAGCCTAACCACTATGGTTTAACCATAATTACAAAATCCCAACACATTACAAAAAAAACTAGGAAAGTAAAGGCATTCTTACAATTAAGGACCTGTGTGACAAAACTGTTTTTTTATCCTTTGACAAGTAAAAGGAAATGTATGGCATGAAAGGCACATACCTGGACTTTTTGCATGTTTTGAATATACTACCTGATTCTTGGAAATATACTATTAGACACTCTCGAAACATGCCAGTTGTTGATTTACTCATAACTGAGTGTCATTTGACTTTATTGAAATGATGCAAAGGCTCTAGAATTTTTTTATGACGCCATGATTTCCGATGAAGATGTACCTAAAATGTGTCTTAAATGGCAAGAATCTTTTGCTAATGTTACTTTTGATTGGAATCAGATTTTTACGACTTATAGAAATGGTTTAAAAGATGTCAAACTACTTGATTTCCAATACAAACTTGTACAACGTGTTATCTATACTAAAATGAACTATTTAACATGAAACTTGTTGACAATACTGTTTGCTGTTGTTGTAATGAGCTGAATGAGAATATTTGTCATGTTTATTGGGAATGTAGAGAAACACAAACATTCTGGAATGAACTTGAAGTTTGGATGAATAATCATATTGAGAACACAACTAAAATAACAAAATATCTTGTTTGGTTTGGAACATTATACACAGATTGATTATTGCACCATATTATCCCAACTGCCAAAAAAATATATATCCATTTATGTGGGATTAACCAACC